AATTGAATACTGTGCTGCAACTGAACTAGAAGCTCACTTAACAGAAGTTCACTTGCTGATGTTGCCTCTTTCCTTCCTTGCACTTATGAAAAAGCATTTCTACAAGTACACGCACTTCTAGTACACAGGATTTATAACAGCATAAAGGTGGAAATGCTTGAGAGCTCACTTGTCAAAATTATTGGCAGTTAAGGATTGCATCATCTATGATAGAAGTCCATTTTTTAAAAAGCCAGGATTTATATGAATTTAATAATTTTGCACTATTTTTTTAATATCTTCCACCACTTCTGATGGTGGATGGTAGGTCTTGTGGCAACTCAGCTACACCACCATCACAGGCAGCTGGCTGTAATCCTGACTAAGGGCTGCTGCTCATTTTTCTATTCACCTCAGGTGACGTTAGAGGTGAGCACCAGCTTGGGGAAGAATATAGAAGGCAGGGACAGACAAAAGGTTGAGAACAAAGAAGAAATTGAATGAATGTAGCAGAGAGAAGAAAAGAGCAAAGGAAACACTTAGGAAAAGGCGAATAATAAAAAAGTAGAAAATGGGGGAGAAATGAGCATCACTTACTTTGCTCCATTCCTGTCCAAAAATCCTCAGTGCCTAAATCCTACTAAGCAGGTGTTACTAGCCCCCACTAAAACTATTATGTAAAATGAGTCAGCAACCAACAGGTTACAGGCCAGATCTAGCCCACGGAACCACTGGATTTGGCTCATTTCTCTGACTTGGGATGGGTCATCCTGGCCTGCAGCCAGAAAATGTTACCTACTTACCCCTAGTCTAAGAAACCCCCCATCAAGAAGACCAGCCTAATTTCTCATTTTCAATATCAGGCTGCCCCCAAAAAATCTTCAAACTATAATGAATACTGACAACACTTTTTTTTGTGCAGTCCTCTATCATTCTTAAAACTTCACTGTTCACGTCCTACCACCGCAAATCCTAGGAGCTTTCCTTGCTTTACTGAAGACCCCAAGTAGTCTTTGATCAGTTTAAGATTCAAATAGCTGTATCTTGTAGAAGCCAAAATTGTACATATGAAGTTAGGCCTTTAAATCCCAGTATTGTGACCTACAGAAGAGTAGATTGATTTTCAGAGCCCAGTGTCTGCAGCATACATTGACCTCAGTGAGCATAGAAAGTGCCACTACATTTGGATGTGGGTCCCTAAATTATGGCAGCAAGTTTTAAAATGTTGGATATTGTGATTGAATCAAGACCACAGCATGCATCACAGCCTGCCCCATTTTCTAGTGCAGGGATCAGCAACCTATCACCTGCAGGCCAGATCCAGCCTGCAAAGGTCTAATGCAGTTTACACTTTACTAAGGGCAGGCTGATTCCTGAACCATTTGATTCAGTCCACATTTTGCCAACAGCATGCTGCTACAGCCCAAGTGAAGGGTGGAAGACTGTAGCCCCCGCTCCTATGAGTGGCCAGATGGGAATGGTGGCCCTCAGCGCTAGCTGGACTGTAAGTTGTGACCCACATTTGCAGCAGGTTGCTGACCCCCACGCTAGCACATCTTGCTTTTCACATAGACCTGCTTTTCTTTTGTACCCAGAGGTCACATTGCTACTTTGCACAGAACTTGCATCAGCCACAGGCAGGCAGCTGGAAGGGAGTTTGCATCAGTAGCGTCACCAGTGGTAGACCAGGTGCTACTGCTCTTGTAGATGAGAATTTAGGGAAAAAAAAATAAAAAAAATCAGTATATCTGTGGGTATGTGAGGGCACTGCGGAAAATGCTATTGAGTGGGTTATATAGGATCCATTTTCCAAAATATTTTTCTCAAGAAAAAATAAAACTTACCACCAGGAAGTGCTGTTTTCAGTCCTCCTCCTATAAGATAGCGGCAAAGACTGGCTTGACTTCACGCTTTGGTAGTACCTTTCATCTGAAGAAAGCAAATTAGCCAATTAATTTAGCTCCCCTTCTCCATCATGGCTGGTGTTATAATTCCCATGTTCATATGAGGACATTGAGGCAGAGAAAAGTGCAATTAATTGTCCAAGTCCATACAAAACACCAGTGGCAGAACTAAGAACAAAAAAGCAGCCAGCATTTTGGAAGTGAGGGGGAATGTCACCTCTATAGGGTGACAGATGAAACTAGCTTGGGCTCACCTCTAAATTAAGCCTCATTTCTGAAAGAGGCAGAAGGAGCCTCCCTGCAATGCCCACTACAGCATATGATCTCCAGATGTATGATATTTACAGTCACAGGATCCAGATGTAATCAAATGTGCTAGTGATTTGCTCCAGCCTGCCTCTACTGAAATTTCTACCTAGTAGTAACATAAAAAAACTAAAGTATTTGAGGACTTAACATGCCAACAGACGATAGTGGTAAAATTGGTGCTTTTTTTCCTCTTACTATGAAGACAAAATTGCAAAGATACAGCCTGATTACACAGAGATCAACCAAAAGGCAGAGAAAACCAAAAAGCAATCCGTTCTTTGCAGGAGAATTAACATGTGATACACTGTGGTGTTTTTTCCCCTTCACATTGTGGTATGATTATATTAGCCTTCTGTGACCAAGTTATATACAATCTGTTCCTTTTACTGGAGACCTTATTGCAAGTTAGAACCTCCACATTCTCTTGAGTTAACTATTGTAGGGCTGGTTCCTTCATTCTGAAATGCATGTTAAATTCTGTCTTCTTTTAGGACTGCTCCTTTCTTGTAGTTTGATCACAACAACCTCGCACTGTCACTATCTTGTGTTTAGCCCCACTGAGTCCCTTCTTAGTTGATCAATCCTGCAAGGAATGCAACCAGGTCAATTAATCCAAACAAATACAAAAGTTAAACCAAAAGTCTCCATCTTTATTTTAAAAACATCTGAAAAATGCATCCATCCCAGCCTTTGGGCACAAGTTCAAAGTCACATTACAACCCTCCTAACTCAAAAACAAATGGAGAGTTGACCTTCTGCCCCTCTACCTCTTCCCCACCCCTGCAAAATAAAACTCTATCCCATGTAATAAACCTCTATTCACTTAATGTCTTGTGAAGTCCCTAATGACTGTTGCTCTGTTTTGCCTACCATACTAATTATTATTCATGGTTAAGCACTGGAATAGTTTACCTAGAGATGCTATGGAATACTTATCCTTGTAAGTTTTTGAGAGCTAGTTAGACAAGGGCTTGACTGGAAGTGTTTAAGTAGAAGATTGGACAAGAGATCCTCCTTAGGTCTCTTCCAGCCCTATTGTTCTATGATTCCAACTCTTAATAGATGTAATTTGCTAATGTGTAAGTCATTAGAACAATAAGAGCAGCATCCAATGTTGGACTTTGCCATTTGAAAGGCTATAACTTATACAGCATTCTTCAGGACATGTTGTAATACTGCTTCTAAACTGGCAATGCTCTTGGACAGAAACTCTGAAATCAGTAAAATGTACTGATTCTCAGTGTTGTCTAAAATGGAGAAGCCTTTCAACAGACTGGAAGCCTTATATATTTAGAAGAGAAAATTGAAATATCAGTATATGCTTGATGGGTATGGGAGGCTCTCTTCACTTTCTAAATAGGTCAGGGGCAGATCCTGTTATGTATTGCCAATATTTTACACAGGAGTGTCAAGCTCATTTGGCCCTATGGGCCAGATCAAGACTAGAGACCCCTGTGGGTTGGATCTGAACCACTTGGCTTCTGGCTGCAGCTGCCAGCACTGCAGCATTGGCAGTCAGGAATTTAACACCACCATCACACTGCCCCCAGAGCCCTAGCTACTGCAGCCACTGTCAGCATGGCCAGCATCCAAGGGGGGAAAGCCACCAACTAAAAACACTACATTCTGTCATGGCATTGAACCCCAAGGTTCTGGCCATTCTCACACTGCAGCTCTAGCAGTGATGGAGAAAAACCCTGGGGGCTACATGGCACACCTCAGTGTGCCAGATCCAGCTTGCAGGAAGCATGTTTGACATGCCTGTTTTACCCCATCACAAAGATGGTATTAGGTCATGCCACCTGTCAAGAACTATCAGCTTTTTAACCCATTATAATACCACTTTATTACCACTAGTAAGACTGGAGCAAATTGAGGAATTTTCTTATCCTAGAGCAGTGAGGTGCCTTGAAATTCTTTCAAGGGTGTCTCAGGGTGTTGACACAATGTTAGCATTACTGGGTGTGCAAACATAATTCACAGGATAAACCCAGAGATGCTAAATAGGAATTCATAGTGTTCAAAGCATTCTGACTGGCTGTGGACTTTCATAGATGTTTGGGTCGGAAGGGACCTTAGCAGACCATCGAGTCCGACCCCCTGCCCTGGGCAGGAAAGAGCACTGGGGTCAGACAACCCCAGCCAGGTGCATGTCTAGCCTCCTCTTAAAGACCCGCAAGGTAGGGGAGAGTACCACTTCCCTTGGAAGCCTGTTCCAGATTCTGGCAACCCTTACCATGGAGAAGTTCTTCCCAATGTCTAACCGAAATCTGCTCTCCATCAGTTTGTGGCCGTTGTTCCTAGTTACTCTAAGGGGTGCGCTGGTAAACAGAGCATCTCCTATTCCTTGCTGTTGTGTGTGTCCCACCCCCCACTGATGTTCTGAGTTCTTTGCAACAGAACTACTTATTATTATTCTATAGTAAAAAATGAATGAAAATGAGTAGTAAAAAATGAGTGAAAATTAGAAGCTGGCACCTTCTGAGGGTACCTCAAATCTACTGAATGGTGCTTCAAGTCTGAAAACCACTGTTTTAGAGTTAAACCAATACATCTGAATAATTCTCTATGTATCGCTAAGTATGCTACATCAATAGCCAACTGTAGGGACAATTCAGCAAATGGGGAAGATCACCATTACCACAAAAATGCCATAGACCAGGACAGTGTTTTCTCTCTACACGGATATATATGGTTCTGTAGTTACTATGCATTCCTTGAAGAAAAAAATTCATAGGTACAAAATTAAAGTCAATAAGGTAAAGTTGCTGGTATTAAAGAAAACAACACCACTGCAATATAATATAACTTTAAAATGAAGTTGTATTAAATAACATTCACATTCACAATTAATACTGGCTCACTATTAATACTGGTTCATTATTTTCCATTTGAAATGCTTGTATTTAACTTTAACCGTAATGAACAGTGCACAAGATGGATTCCCTGGTTGTCAGGATGCAGTCAGTCATTCTTCCAAATACTTATGTCCAAAACAGCCACAGGCAGAACTGTTAGCTAAAGTTCAATGTGGTATTCTGACATGAAGAACATTTCTTTAAGAAATTTTACACGTCCAAATATGCCCTCAAAAGCACATTTTCATCATTTTTTCATTACTAAAAACATGTAGTTTCTAAAATAAACTATAAGATTTTTTTTTTGCCATATTTCCTGGATATAGGGATCAAACTTCATCCTGCCACACAAATTCCATTGAAAGCAATGAGTTCTGTGTCAAACAAGTGACTACCTAATTTACACTATTACAAGTAAACAGGTTGGCACATTACAGAATCTTGTATAAATGAATTTGTTGAAGTGCTTCTCTATCAATGTCCTTTTCCACGTACACATCATAGTCCAACTGCACCTCTTCTACCCACTGACTGAGCTGTATGTTCATCTAAAACAAAGAAAACAAAAATTAACAGTTTTGAGAACAGCTGCAGTTCCAAGGACTGAGCAGAATAAGAGAGTGCTTACACATAATTTATTCAGAATAGATAAGTTAAACTTTTTCTAGAAATATTATTTGACCTCAAAAGGAACATCTAAACATAACACATTTCAGTTGACTTTCTGCATATACGTGTATATAAGTGAATAAGCCTAATGGTTCCTGACTGGAAAGAGCTAGTTAGCCTTCCTGACTGGAAGGCATAGTTTAATAGGTTATATAAATATAAGGTATTAGATGTCTGCAGCAGGAGAAACTATGGGACTATTGCAGGTATCTTCTTTCCCCACACACGGAGGTTCATGATCAATCTTGTTTTTGTCTCAGACTATTCTTGTCTAACCCCTGTCCCTTCCAGAAGTCAAAGTGCATCTTTCTTTTTCTTGTGGTGGAAGATCTATTTCACAGCTGACAGCTGATTCTAACTCTTCTAAAGCAGAATATTGTATATCCAGTAAGCCACTCTATCAGTAGCCCAGTGAAATACTTAATTCTTCCCACTGACACGTTTGCTAAAGCATCCGCTCTCTAATGATGTGTAAACTGTAAACAATCCCCATTAAATGCACAGTACTATGGTATAACAGCCCCCCCATGACCAGTTTTCTTAGTTTTCATGGCTTCTAATAGCAGGCCCCAAGTTGACTATCAGAAGACTTGAAAATGAAGAGAGTTAATCAGGTTTAGGACTCCCAATACCACACAACTGGTATTTAATCAGTTTTAAACACTATTGTGTTTAAAACTGCCAATACCACACCAATACTACTTCTTGAGTAGTTTACACTAAGGTTGGTTAAGAGCACAATTTGGGTTAATTCAGTCTTTTTTTTTCAGACCTGAGGCTATACACTGAAACAGAGTATGAGGTACTTTGAGAACCTCAGAGTTAAGGCATTACATGAATGAAATCTCAGAATAGCCCTGTTAGGCTAATAAGAAGTTTTCTATTCTATAGCTGGGAAAAGCAAGGCACTGGGATTCAAGGGCAAAACCATGGAAATGGGTGGCAGAGCTGGGAATAAAACCAAGAGTCCCAGTTTTTAAGTGCCTGATCTAAACTTCAAATTAAATTCTCTTAGCTGTACATGTGCTACTGAATATTAACTATTAGAACGCAGATTAAGTATCAAAGCAACTTTTACAAGAAGTAATAAAACATATCTGCTAGAAACTGTTTAAAAAAAATCACAAACCTGCAGGTTTGAGAGAGATTCTTCAAGGCTTGGGACTGTCACTAATAACAACCCTTTTTTCCGTACATTTTGACTAATAAATTCCCAGGCTCTGAAACACATTTTGAAATGTAAATATGGTATTTAAAGATTGCAAGATGATCTCTTTTAGAAAAAGAAACACATTCAATGCAAAATGAAACTAAACTAGAGCTGAGCCTTCAAGAGGCCAAGAAGCGACTTACACAACTTAGTGACCAAAAGCAGATGAACTTCAAAGATTTGTCATTTGTACTTTAGTATCAATTATTATTACAGCAACTCTTGGACCATTCAATTACCCCTTATGAAGACAGGGGGCTATTTTAACTGACTACTGCAATGTTCTGGACAAAAACTGGTAGAATAAATTATCTGACAATCAAGTGAAGGCATTTTAAAAGCTATTCCTTCATATAAATTGTGTGTGTAACTTCAAGAAACACAACATGAAAGATTTTCATAACTCAAAAGGTTAAACACATTGCCAGACATAGATTACTTGCTCAGACACACAGCTTACCTGGCTTGCTCCAGGCTGTCAAGAAAATATTCAAAAACATTATTCATTACAACTACATCAGCATTTTGAAGAAGTAAAGCCTGAGTACAGATATCTGCATGAATCACCTGAAAAAAGAAGAATTTCAGATGGAAGTAAATTAATTAATAAATAAGTTGCATGGTTTTTTAAATCAACATGAAGTCTGTCAATAGACCAGAGCATCTATTGCCAACATCTGTCACAGATAATCAAAGGGGACGGACCATTCAAGTTTGTGATAAGCAAAACAAAAATAAACTAACTGAAGTGAGTGTTAAGGAAAAAAGATTTTTTTAGTAATTAAACTTCTTAAATCATTATGTTGAATAAAAATATGATCTGCCCACTTTTGGCCTCATATGCTGAATGCCACTTGAGTACAGAAGTTTTAGTTAATGAATTTTCTGCTTTAGTGACTTGTGCTTATTTATCTCCATTAAGGATTTAATTCAGTTAAAGCTTTTATGAGGCTATTGAAATGCATCTTCAGGGTTGCACTGGTTGCAAAAGGAGCAGAGCTTAGCTGAGTCCTCAGAACCTAAGTTTAGTTACTGCACTCTCATTCCACATTCTGGAAACACTGGAGATGTCATGTCCTCAAACCTTGAGGAAAGGACTGTTTTTATCCACCCAAAAGAAGATAACAAAACATGTACTTTACAGGAAAGGCAAAAATGAACACTTGAGCACCCTGGGAGGCAGCTACACATGGGGCAGCGTCAGTGGTTATGCGGCTATTGGTGCGGCACTTGCAATGTTGGCAGTGCATTTACTGCTCTTTTTGCTGACATCCTGGTCCTCTTCCACTCTGCTATGCTATGCTTAGGGACAGTTGATGAGATCTGTTGCCTGCAGCTAAACAGATACTTTGGCTAATTTCTGAAATTCAACACTGTACCAATGTCTTTGTTAATCTAGAAATGTTATTAAAAGTTATTGATAAAGGATGAGGCACTAGCACCTATTCACCTTTTCTAGTCAGCACTTCAGAGATTGAGAATTAAGAAAATGGGTAATTTAGGTACCTTATATAATAAAAAAATGAGTCATGGGATGATACTTCACACTAATCCACTAGATTGGATAATCCACATTTTGTTATGTTAATCTAGTGTTTATACAATTACCACAAGGCTCAGCAATGGAGAATTTTGGATTCTCTAGGAAAATATGACATCTTTGTATAAAGGAGACATCATTTTTGCCACTATTTTGTTTGTTTTAAATCCTGTTGATATCTATTAAGAAAAAAAGATGTCTTTCCTCTACTGAGGCATTTCCCCACAAATTAAATGTAGAACTATGCTGTTCCAAGTGATATAGGAAGAGGTATTCCATATATCACTGTAGCAGCTTAAATGAGGAAAGAAGGAAAACTGAGTTGTGCTAAATTTAGCACTGATTCATGCAACAGAGCCCAAACACTACCAAAATACCTTGGTGTGTGTTTACTTATGGCCAGATATTTCTATATTAGCTTTAATTGTAACAAAGTGCTAAGGTTAATAAAAATGGTTATTTTTATCCTATATATAATTTATCCAGATAACTAGAGTCAAAGGGTTGATTGTGAGTTTCTCTCGTACTTTGTAGTAAACGTAAGCTGTAAGTGGGATTCTGATCAGTGCTTCTTTGGTAAGAATATTTATACAGTCTTCCTTCCTGAAATTGTAATATACTCTTTTCTAATTAGTAATTCATAGGGACTATGTCAACCAATCTCAAATCTGACCTACAATATTGTTTTTTTCATGTCCTCTATGTTAAAAGTTTTTCAAAATCATTTACTGTATTATCTAGAAAATAAAATAATGTTTGCATACTACCTGTACATGTTATCCTATCAAAGGAGGAGGCTGATTTTTTCTACATTGAAATGGAAAAATAAAGAAAAGCTTGATTTTTAGGGCACTAAAATAATTAGTGAACCAAAAAACTGTACAAAAGTTAAAGCACCCCTGAATACAAATCCAAAGGACTGATAGCTTTCAAATATGGGGGCTCTTCAAAAGTTAGCTGAGGCAGGCAAACAGCTGTGTGTGTAATGCAAGAAATTGTACAAAGCACTACCAATTTACTTTCTTTCTTATTAGTGACATCCCTAGAATTTCAAGCCTGGATTCAGGAATGTGTTAACCAACTGGCTTAATTTTAAATGTGTTGAAGCCCACTGAATTTAGGGGCTCTTAATTAAAAGGTAAACATGTATTTAAGCACCTTTCCTGGGTAAAAGTAAGTTCCTGAATCCCACCTCAGTTTACCTAAGCTTCTATTTGTTTTATTTTTTTCCCCACAACATCAAGTATTTGCCCCAGCATGACTTCCATGCACTTATTTTTTTTCTTTTTTAATTTATGAACAGGACAACCTAAGAGCCATTGATAAAAGTCCTGCCATTAAAGAAATCATTTCTCTCTCTTGTTCTAGGATGATGATATAATGTCCTATTAAAAATAAGGCAGAAAATATTAATCACTAGCAGAACTTCTTTTCCTCCAAAACTTTTGGCCTCCTATGGATTACTTAACCAAATGGCTTGTGTCTGTTTTCTGCTGCTAACATCTTGCTCCACAGAGGTTCAGTTAAAGAGACAGGATTCATTTTGTAAGGCATTGAAATCCAAGAATGATCCATTCAAAGAGGTGTGATAATAGGAGTCACATGACACAATTAACATCAAATGGGAACTGAATAGTAAAGTCCCCAGGCACTGCTTTGAAATGCTTTCATCTTTTTCATTTCTCTGCTTTGAAAACTAACATTTCAACAGAATTACAAGGTGTGAAGAAAAACTACCACTTAAGAGGGTGTATGTTTTCCAGATTAAAAAATGTCTCAGGAGCAAAAATATATATCCGCAATCTCCAGTGAATGAATCTGGAAGAATATTCCATTGTACAGTACAATTTCATTTGCTGATATGTTTCAGTCATGTCAGAAACCTTTGCAAAAATAGGATTTTGGATAGGCTGGGTATGACCACATGTAAAGCACTGCAGTACTAAACTGGGATTAAATAGTTTATGCTGTTATTTCTACTGAACAGCACAGTATCTTCTTAATGGGTTATTTTATTTGCTGAGCAGCGATAGCACCTAGCAGCTGTGTAGCTCCACTCTAAATTGTGTATGCAAAACGGGGAAAATCACGACCCTGTTAAAGTGAGTAGGAATTATCCCCATTGACTTCAGCAGGACAAGGACTGGAGCCGGGATTTCACCAATTTTATTTTAGACAATGTTTTGTTACAGTTCACTACAATACCCATAAGAGAGACTGTTTTTCATTATGAGAATGAAAAAATGTACATTTTAATTACATGAGTTTGCTTGGAGCATACCTTGTTTTTCCTAATGTACTATATGCACTAACATGAACTGAAATCCTCAGTTTCAAGAAAATAAAGACATGCAAGAGACAGTGTTGGTAGCCTGCCATCCTTTAGCTTTACATGAATACAAATCCTTGGCAGCTTCTTTTTTCTGTTCTTTAGAAAAGATGGAGACCCCACATACCAGTTGCTTTGATTATTCTAGACATGTGTCATGTATTGGCTTGATTCTTTTTCACTAAATTCAGTGGCACTGATTTTATTCAGAACCAGAAGTTAGGACAAGGGTGCTCAACCCCTGGCCTGTGGGTCAGATCCTGCCTCCAGGCACCGTGTAATTCAGCCTCTGGGGCTCCCCACAAATTCCGTGGGGAATCCCACGGGCTGTGGCCCTGTGTGCTACATTGGGCAGCACAGGGCTCCTGGAGCCTGATCCAGCCTGTGGACTGGTCCAGCACCATTCACCTGGCCCACAGGACCAAAACACCACTGAGTTAGGGCTATGAGCTACTGTTGTGAGCCTGCTGGCAGACTGAGCCAGATTCAGATAAAGGTAATGGATTCAGTAAGTGTTATTATATTTTGAAAGAAGTTACTTAATTTTGTTTATCAGTTTTTTTGGATTTGAGGCTTTTGTTTTTTTACAATTGAAAAGATAAAGGTGGAGAGACACTCTAAAACACCTTTGATTTCACCGGTCTTTATCGCCAAATAGGATTTTCTAATTTATATTACAGTTTGTTAAAAATATAGACATTGCAAAATATATTTAGTCACCTTTACTCTGTCAGTGAAATGGTATTTTGTGATCATCATTTCTTGCAAGTGGCAAAAGTCTGCATTCATTTCCACTCCATATAACTGGAATGCTGAGCTGTAAAGACAGCCCTGTACTAAGGAAAGAAAATATAATAACTGAGGTGTCTTTAAAGTAGCCTGAAATGGAAAAAATAAGGGTAAAGTATGCTGCAAAGTGAAAAACTCCAAGATTACAAGCAAGTAAAAATGTTATTGGGTAAAGTCAAGTCATTTTGGAATAATATGGATAGGAAATACACTAGAGTGGACAGCTACAATTTTTTTAAAGGTTAAGACTCTGTTTTGGCAGTTACACTTAATGTTTTATCAATATTACCATTCAAAGGAAGGAGTTGAGCCGAGAGGGCAAAATAAGATAAAGGAAATTAAGCTGCGTATCTAGCTCTTACACTTCAGTTGGTAAATAAATGGAAATTGGCTGAAAGACAGGAAACATTAAAGCAGTATAAACTGAATTATGGAAGTAATTTGCAACAAGGGGAAAAAGCTCAAAAATAAAATAACAGTCTTACAAAGTGGTGGGGTTTTTTTTGTATTATTTAGGGAGAAGATGGAAGATATCTATGAAACAGTAAAATCCAACCCCTCCCCCCTTCGGCACCCAATAAATATATATAGAATTCAATACACAAGATGGTATATGAGAGACAAATTTGTGCCCATACTGCAATAGGCGAACTCAGAACAGGATCTCTCTTATAATGAACAACACTACGTATAAAAGTACTTCTTGTATAGGCATATAAAATGTAAATGTATATTTTACCATCCATCAATAACTCAAAATTATTCTAAAGTAGTTCACCTTTCGACTGCGATTATGGAAAGATTCTGTTCAAAGGGAGGAAAAATTTCTGAGATAGCATGAATGCCTGAAAACTTAGGGCTATAATGGATAAAAAGCTCCAGCTTTAACTGCAGCTTCATTTACAATGAACACTATAATTACATCTAGCTCATGATAGGAAAGACAAAAAAGAGTATGCCAAACATACAGAATTTTTCAGATGTCCATGTACCACAACTTGATTATTATAGCTTTCTGAAGCCCTTCAACCCTATGGCCAGAAAAGTCGCCTGTGCAGAGAAAATGAGGCAAATTGCCACTTCTGAAATGTGAGCCAAGAATCTGATGAAAAAGAGACCTATTCTTTTAACTACGTTGCTCCTTCCTCTTGAGGCTATCTTCCATTTTACCAGCATAACTGTTTCAGAGCTTCAAAAAAAATTCAGTAAGCATAACAGCAAAGTGTTACCATTTAAGGATCTGATTGCACAAACATTTACAGATGGGAGTAACTTTATTCTTGAGCAGTCTCCACTCAGATGAGTAAAAGTACACGTTCAAGTGTTTCCAGTATTAGGGTGTAAAGAGCCAATGACTTTGAGAAAAAGGTGAGGTGTATTAACTGTTATAATGTACACCTAGGCATATTTTGCATTGCTGTTGGCCATATGTTACACCAATTGTGCCAAAAGCAATCAAAATTGCACTTGAGTTTCCTGATAAAATGTTTTATATGCATTTTTAAAAATGCAGAATAAGGCAACATATTTTAAGTAGTATATAATCCTTCTCTCTGTATTTAGCAGTTTGGTAACTTCATAATGGCATTCACTAACCTCAAGAAAATATATGGTCAGGACAGAAAAAGACAAATTAATTTACCAATAAGAGACTGAGAAGTAAGGAACAGAAGAACAGCCAAAATGTCCAACAGCAATAGCCTGTGCTGTTGGACAACAGACTCCTGGCCAATAAATGCAATGGTTTGTGTTTTCACTTTTAAGGGGAGCTGAAGGAGAACTGAACATAAACACCTCCCACTGTGGTCAAGCTATACATTCTTCTCTGTTGATCTGTCCTCTCAGATCAAGATACAGTTTGGAACAATGAGAGCTGGCAACAAGAAAAGGAAAATGTATGTCACAGAATATGATTTCCTGTGCTAGATTTACCGCGAACAGCACTGCACCGAGCCTGGAGCCAACATCAACCAGAGCCTTTCCTGTCAGGTCAGGCAATACATGTTGATAAAGAAACTTCAGCTCCATGAGGGAAAAGGAATGAGAAATAAACTCTGGGAAATAAGAAAAGAACAAAAGTGTTGGGTGAGCAGTTTTTACCAATGCAAAGCTTTCCATAGAACTTATCATCATTGAAAATATTCGAGGTTTCTTGAACGCCTGCCTCCCTAGAGCAGGGAACCCCAAGTTTTGTAGCTCTGGGGGAATCTGCTAAGCAGATTTAGGGCTATACTCCCTTTCAAGGAGAATTTTGAAATCCTCCAAAAAACTGAATTACCTTTTTCTGTACAGCTCTAATAATTATAGTTGCTTGCCAGTGACATCATAACAGCAGTGAAGTTACTTAAACAATTTGGGATTGCCACTGATCATAGTACTTCAGGTCTCAAAGTAGTGGTACTACAGATTTCCTAGATGGACATGGCTTAAAATTGCAACTCTGTAAAACCTTGACCCTGAATGTTATTGCAATAAAGTACTCAAGCCTTGCAACTTAAATGTCCTGCCTTCTACTAGGGACACCCCAGAGCTACATCCCATTTAGTAGCAATTTCAGGAGGTATTGTAGCTTCAGCCTTTTGGTGCTCTTCCCCAATATGCAGGTAAAGAATGACACTGCTGTGTCAGAAATCTTTGGCTTTTGCACTATATATTTTCCTCTCCAGCAGCCCTGTCTCCTTTGGATGAATGGAAAGTGCCACTTGCGAATATATCTGTTTGACCCATGTATTTGGAAAGCTCTTTGCATTCCCTCCCCACAGAGAGCGGGGAATAATATGGTCTGCAGACAATGCCAGTTTGGACAAAGTCCTCTATCAGCTGGATGTTCTTGTGAACAATTTTAGTTAAAAACAGTTTGTTTATGGCTCCCAATACAGTGCTTACCTAAAGGTGCAGTCTTGTGTGATCCACACGCCACACAATAATTTCTACTCATTTTTCCTTCCTCACACAATGAATCAACAAAGTCGTCATCATAAAGGAATGCATCAACATGAATCATAGGCTCTGGATGCTGATGCATCTGAAAAAGTGACTGATATCAAAAAAAGGAATAGCAAAGTCTCTTCATTTCATTTACACTGTATTTAACAAAATCCAAGATCCAGACTCTGGGTCTCATTAATTACTCATCTGGAATCTTGAAATTATGATGTACTACATGTACACAACCCTAAGATTCAGGCCAATCAATCCAAACTATCTTATTTGTGTAGTTTATTTAGATATTTAATGGAATATATTTTATTTTTCTCCAAGTCTAATACGGTCTAATCAACTCCTGATAAACTATTAGACACTCTTAAACTTAAGAGAGCATTCAAACAGGGATCACACAGATCTAACAATATTAGAGGTGCATCGATAAGAGGTTTTTTTGGGCCAGTATTGATGGCTGATTTTTAACGAGCCATATTGGCTGATAACAAGCTGATTCCAATATACAGCCCTGCAGTACGGAGAATAGCGTCTGGCTGGTAAGTCTGTTGTGGGGGGGCAGACTGAGGTCCCCACAGTGAGGAAGGGAGTGGAGCTGGCACTAGGGCTAAGGTAGGGTCAGGCACTGCACAGCTGGGGCAGGGCGGGGCATGGGATGGAGCTGCAGCTTGTCTAGGGGATGTGGGAACAGCTTCTGCCGCTGCACACACCATGGGAAGGCATGGGGGGGGACACGTACCCCCAGATCTATGCACGAGGGAGGGCAGGCTGCTGCTGTGGGCTTGGACTGG